CAATCAGGCGAGGTGAGATCCATCTTTCTCTGCTTTGTGGCTTTATTGCATAATGACATAAGGCTTGACTGCAAATGTCATTATGAATAGTTTGCTTCTTTTAAGTTATTGTAAGAGAAGTACTTGATGCATGCATGTCAACCTTAACTCTGTCTCATGCTGAATGCCATTCCACGTTTCTCTGTGATATAATTCCATCCATGTTATTTTGTTCTAGAAAGGCAGTTATTTAATGGACATTTAATTAGTTGCACTCATAACTTGGTTGTTAAAATTGATCTAATCAAATGCATGAACTGATCATTAATATTGGGTGATGGGTTTTTTTGTCTGCTTTCTTCCCTTCCTACTTGTTTTCTTTAGCTGTCACGTTCTAGCTCAATGAGTTCTTTATCACGTGAAGTGAGTCAGCATTTAAACCAGGTACTACTAGTCTGTCTTTAAATAATCCCCTCTCCATATCCTCCTGTCTGTCTTATAGTAGCTCAACATTATTAAAACCCCAGTTCCCTCATTTCCACCCAGTGCTTTGCTGCGCGTCGTTCCCAGAATGTCCCCATGTTGTTTCCACCTGCTGCCTCCAGCAATGACAGTTAGGACTCTGTACAGAGTTAAGAAAACACAACCCTAAAGAAAGGAAATAATTGTAATAGTGGCTGGTTTATGGTTAATTATTACACGGTCAAAAGATTTCTTGGATATAAAGAACGACCCAGTTTTCTCTAATCTAAACTTCTTGCATTTTGTCCCATTGCAATCACATGCTTGTCCAATTTGATTTTATAAGCAGTTCATGTGATAGTCCAGCACAAACTTGCACATAAATGTGTTGAGGAAGGAAAAAGATGCAGGGGTTATTAAATATAAATGAAAATCAGAAAAGTGCTATATCCATTTATCCCAGCTTTGCACATTTAGCTGTTCTTCTGGTGAAAAAGCTCCAGCTCAGTCAGATTGGCTGGAAAGCATCTATGAGCATTTATATCCAAATTTTACAGCAGACTGTTGGATTAAAATTAAAGTCTGGACTATTTTATTGCATGAATATCATCACATTTTCTTCTCGCTAAATATTTTTTTTTCTGTTAGAAGTAGTCATGGGTCAAAAAAAAAATTGACTGACTGAATGAATTAAATCACATTTGTGTCACCGTAGCTTCCGTACAGTAACTTTCACCACCTGGCTGGTCAGTTAAGCTTGGCAGCCATGTCTTAGTGGAGCTATGGAGCTCATGTCCTGTTTGGTCCCCTTAATACTGTAACATGTAATGTGATCACTAAAGAAATAGAAGAATATCTTAAAAAAAAAAAAAAAAAAAAAGAAGCTACCTCACAGTTGTGTTTTGTGTTAGTTTATCACTTATAACCCCACCGAAATACATCAGTGGTGGCAATGTGAAAATGAAAATGCAAGGGTTTGAATACTTGTGACCTTATAGAAAATGCTCAATTATATATCTGTGCTAAAATGTATGATAAAAGGGTGTTACACGATGAATCGTGCTGGAGACTGCATTTGTCCTTTTAGAGTTGTTCTAACCCTGCCGTCCAACTTGCACAGCTACTAAAACAAGTGCTAACAGCACGTGTAATGCTTCATCACTATAGATCCATTCTACATTTCCTGCCTTATTTGGGCATAGCTTTTAGATTTTCTCTCTGTCAACATGAAAGTAATAAACTGTTATCTGCTTCTTCCCGGACAGAGTCATCCTGCCCAGGGTACTGCACCCACCGGAGGTGTCACTTTTTATAACCCTGCTCAGTTTGCACAGGTGAGGCTTTTAAAACGGCACACATGGTCACTTATGACTTATTATCTGTTTGTTCACATTTTCTCTTTTCCGTCTTATTTCATTTTATTCCCCAGACAAGTGCGCCATCAGGAGGTGGACCACGGTCTAGTCGGTTGAGCCAGCGCTATCCAGTTTCGAAGTAAAGGAACATCCAAGAGAGACTAAATAACTGAACTAAATGGACAAAATGTGATTCTACCTTGAAGTAAATGAAGCACACGGACATACTGCTCTCTGTCTTAAAGAACTCCTCCTCTTGCCTTCATTTAAAAGCTTGATCTCATTATGTGGGTTTTCGTCCAAACAGCTTAACCAGTTTTTCATTTTGTTTTTTTACCATCAGCCCAGTAGGTTTCACTGGTGTGTTTGTCACAAACGAGAGTTTCCATGAAGGGCTTATTCCTGAAACCAAAACGGGGGTTAGAAAGTGATTTGCATCATGAATACATTCTTAAACAAACTGTGCTATCATGTTGGCATAAATAGTCTACAATAAATGCCTCGCTAAACTAAAGCTGCCAGATGTAACACTATTAGCAGCATGATCATCCAGTGTCCCATTTTACACTCGTTTTTTTTGTCCGAGCTCCATGTCAGGGTGGTTGTGTGAAGGATAAGAAGCAACTGGCACCTTTTTTTTAAATTTCATACAGGAGATTTCTAAAAGCAGCATCTGTGTTGAAGGTGGCATCTTGTGATCATTTTGCTTGTTTGTCTTGCTGTGTAGACATTTCCTTTAGGTCCATTGAAAGAACCCTGAAGAAACGTATGCAGTGATTGGTCGCTGCTTCTTTCAGGTATTTATTGAACCGCGGTCCCTCCCCAATTAGTTATTAAACTAGGGGGTCTTTTTGTCCAACTTCCTCTCCAAATTCGGAGCTGTCCACTTCAAATTGAGGGACGATTGTTGGAATAGCAAGAGCCGGAATTCAAAATGGATTTTAAATATTGCAGAAAATGAATCTATCCAAATATTTGTATATCAGATCGATTGTATTTATGACCTGTAGACAAAAGGTGAGTGCGTGTGTGTGTGTGTGAGAGAATATTAATTTTTTTTCCAAATAGTCTTTGACCAGATGCATTATTGATTAAAGAAATTACAACAATCGTAATCTATTGGTTTGTATTGGCTGCTTCTGCATAAAAATAAACTGTGAGCTAGCCACACCCTAAATACGTTGTCATTTTAGTTTACAAATGTAAACCCTAAATCTGACAGGTGTCTCAAATGTTACTTGTTCGTTTATTTCGTCAACGTCAGTTTGAGCTTCTAAAAGCTGGAGGCGAGGATGTTTCCCATTGTCCTGGAATTTCAACTGTGAAATCAACGAAAAAATCAATACAAATAATGGAAACAAATGGTAATAAAGTTATTTTTGCGCTCTGTAGCACTTTGATAGAGATGTCTAATGGTGTCATTTACTATATAAAAACTAACTTTGAATCAAGTTTGCCGTCTTTTATTTCTGCAAAAGGAAGGCTAAGGTTACCAATGTGAGCTGTAAAATTGGCCAATGTAATGTAGGAATTTACCAATTTATACAAATTATTTAAAACATGTCAGGCTTTATACCATTTAAAGGGTTAAAATATGTGAATATGTTTTGTTAATCCACCATAAAGCTGTTTTAGCATTATGCTTTGAGTCATTGTCTTGCTGGAAGATGGCCCTCTGACCCATCTCAATATAAAGGCATGTTTTGTCCCTGAATATCCCTATGGAAGAGGATAAGGGCCACTGAGAAAATTTAAAAAGTTAACAAATTTTTACATTTTATTTCAGTTTAATGTGGGAAAAAAGTCAGAATTCCAAGAAAAATGTCTGAATTCTGAAAGTCGGAATTCCGAGAAAGTCGGAATTTTGAGATTAAAGTCGGAATTCTGACTTTTTTCCTATATTAAACTGAAATAAAATTTAAAAATCTGTTACGTTTTTTTTTTTTTTTCAGTGGCCCTAATCCGCTTCCATATATCCCTGTATTTAGCAACATCCACTGTTTTCTTAACTGAGCAGTTTTCAATTCCCTGTTGCTGATAAGCATCCCTAAAACATGGTGCTGCCTCCACAGGTTTCACTGTGGGAATGGTGTTCTGGGGCTGAGTTTGCACCAAACATGTTTTCCTTGGTAGGAGCTCGATTTTAGTCTGAACAAAACTTTTTTTTTTTTTTCCTTCCTCCATACATGAGGGGAGTCACTTACATGCTTTTTGATAAACTCAAGATTCCTATGGGGTGGTAAGGATACTTCTGTCCCTGCTGTGGAACTCTGTGCCATTTGATTATTGTCCCCTTGGTGAGCTTTGAGGGTTGGCCTTCTCTTGACGGGATTGTTGTGGTGCCATCTGCTCTACATATGATCTTAAATTTCATGTTGCTCCAGGATAACTATAAACATTTAGAATTTTCCTATAACTCCACCCCGGATTTGTTTTTATAAGCAACTTTATCAGAGCCATCCTTGGTCTTGATGGTGTGATACATCTGTGGCTTTTCAGAAAAGGTGTTTAATCTGACAGATTGTACAAAAAAAAAAAAAAAAAAGTGGAATTTATTTTTGACTTTAGATCATTGGTTGAACCAGAACTCTTTAGGGACTTCATAGCTCTGTCATCCTTTTTGAAACATGACTCAAACAAGATCTGAATACATTTATCAATGAGTGAGCCATTAGGTCCAAAAAAAAAAAAATATATAACTTTTTATTTCACACGGTGGAAAAACTCTTTCCAAAGAACAGACTTTTGGAAGATGGAAGTTCTACTTGTCCAAAAGCGTACAACACATTTAATAAGTAATAGGCTGGTTTAACAGAATGGATCCAAAGGGCTATTCTATGTCAGTACCAACTGTTACCAGCTTGACGTCTCCTTCCTCGATAGTACAGCAGCAAGTCATGTTTTAAATAACATGAATGTATAACTACAACAAATTAGCATATATTTTCTTAACTCTGAAATGTTTATGGACTTGGAAGCACACACATTATTAGATCAGGCTAAAACTTTAAAAATTTTAAATTATCTGCTGCTGTGCGAAAGAATAAAAAATAGTAATAACAAACCTCTATATAATCAGTGTGGTATTTCTATTACAAATATACATATAACAACATTCTTACGGTTACATAATTAAATATGATTTATATTAAAATCGGCTGGATTTCAAAGAAGCTGAACTACTTTTTTTTTTTTTTGCTGTAATACAAACTAATTAAAGCAGCATATTAAACTTTTATGTAAGTTCTCAACAGCAAGAATCCTATTATTCAGCAATGTAAACAATTTGATCAAAAAAAAAAAAAGTTAACAGTTCAGCAGCAAAGGGAAGCAGAAGGGATGGATCACTTTTTCAGTAGACACTGATGGGAAAATGTTAAAAAGAAATTAGAAAAGCACTAAATAAGGTCCTTCAGAATTCGCACAGTTTTTAATCAAATTCAGCTTAGCTCACAGCATCCAGAACTGCTTGTGCTTTTTGAACTGCAGCTTCCAGCTTTGCCGGGTCACTGAGCAGCTGTTGGATAGAAGCCGAGTCCATCTCCAGGAGCATACCTTGAAAACAGAAATATGTGGATGTTTATCAGAACTGTGTGACATCAAGAAAAGGTGAAAGCTGAATGATTAATAAATCAGTGTCACTTCACCTGTGATATCATTTGCATGCAGTGAATCCATCTGCTCAACCAATGAGAAGAGCTTCTCTCCTAGCCTGTCTGTCTCATCGGCTTCTGAAGCGTCACTGAGATCTGTCTCCTCTATATTTTGCCTGAAGAAGAAGGCAGAAATTATAAGTCATTTCAAAAGACATGCCCTAAATGGTAAATCGCAGAATGGGCTCCAAAAAGAGAAACTTGTTTCATGAAAAGCCTGTCCAGAGTAGAAAACCACAAACTCTTTTAGTGTCTTCAGAGCGATGTTCACATGCTCTTCAAGCAGTTTGGGGTCTGACAAAAGCTGTAAAACGGCCTCTTTGTGCTGCTCCAACAACATTCCTATGGACAAAATAAAATACTTTTTTACTGCACAAGAAGATACATCACTAATGTTGCATCATGGAATTATTAACAGAAATGACATGATATTCAAACTGACAGTCGTTTTCATATTTTACAGTATGAATTTAGCAAACAGCTTAATGTGTTACAAAGCACTTATACTCCAAATGTTGAAAGAGAATAAATCAGCCTTTATAAACACATGCAAGCTATACACCTGCTATACATGCTGTGTTATCAATGAAACCCTGTTTAATCAGACTCTAAAAAATGCTTCTATGCTCAACTAATGTTGGGGTATTTTTTGTTTGTCAGTAGCCAAAACATTCTAGAACCACTGCTTCCAGGTACAAATGGTTTGCATAACATCCATTCACCCCAGTTCAATTAAATGGCTGCTTTTATTTTAAAAGAATAATATTTAGTTAGATTCACCACAAATGAGATAATAGCAAAAGGAACCTTAATTGCAAATATGATTGAAGACTGAAGGTCAAGTGGAGAAACTATTTAATAAATAAAAAGATGTACACTGAAATGTCATCTCGCTAGGTTTCTATAAAGTAAGAATATTTAACTTACCCGTTATTTTCTGAGAGTAGCCAGTGTTGTAAATATCCACCAACTCAAACAGCTGTTCTCCCAGAGAGTCAGAGGACTCGGACACATCATCATCGTCGTTATGTGTTACCTCACTGTAAACAATCACAGTAACAGGAGAATAAACTATCTGAGATGGAATGTGACACGCGGACAAATCCTGAGACATATTTTTAAGAACCTGCAGTATTAGTCTGCTGATTTATTAGTAAAATATGAGTGATTAAAAGTCAATAAAATGTTGATTTAAAAAAAAAAAACACAAAAAAAACGGATTATATGCCTCCCACACTGCTACAGCTGCCATGTAGAACAAAAGCGTCCTCCCTGGTATCGAAGCTGCTAAAAATGTACACCATAGCATTCTAATTGTTCAGACATTTTAAGGTTATTCATCTATGATTTTCTTCAGCTGGTTGCAACACAGAGTAGCACAAGGCTGCCCCTCCCCTACCTACTGCTGTGCTCTACCTTAAAGAAGGCTACTACACTTGTTTAAACAGCTTTGAGTATAGAACAATGTACTTGGTCTTAAAAACCCTGACCATATGGTTTGGAAACTTAATGAGTCTCATCTTTCAATAGGGGTAAGAATATTTTACAGCTCCGTTTGCAGGCTACAGGCAAAAATTATAAACCCTGCATATAAAGTAGGAATATTTAACTTACCTGTTATTTTCTGAGAGTAGCCAGTGTTGTAAATATCCACCAACTCAAACAGCTGTTCTTCCAGAGAGTCAAAAACTTCATTGCCATTGTTATGCGTTATATCATAAATACTGATCATGCTCTGTACTATAATATGAAAATATTTAATAAAAAGCTTATGCCAAGCTATGTAAGAAAAAAATCGTTTATTGCATTTGAGTCTAATGCAGTTAAACAGGTATCAAAGCATGCTGGTTCCTCATCTAACCTTGTTAACCTGCTTAGAATCTATCAGCCTTAAAAAATAAAAATGAAAAATAAAAGGAATCATTACTCTATTCTCTAGCCTGTTGTACCTGGACTTTGGTGCCGCCTGCAGAGCTTTTAGGGCTTTCTCCAAAGCTGCTGTCAGTATGGCCTCATCCTGCAGCATCTGGCTGAGAACAGCCTTAGGAAGCTCAAGCAACATACCTAAAACACAACAAAAACAGTTTTTAAGGCAAATAACACTTTCCTTGAGATTTTAAGTTATGTTATTTGCATATTTAAACCATCACTTTTTATATCTAGCAATTTTACTCTTTTGCACAGTCCAATAAGCTCACCTGTTAGTTTTCCAGCACTCTCCTTGTGTTTGGGGTAAATCATAGAATAAAGCTGTTCACCAAGTGTCTCCAAATCTTCTTCTTTGTCCATACTCGACCGTTCCCATTAAGACTTAGCTTTTACCCGCCATAATGAACTGTAGAAAATCCTTGGGATAATAGATTTCCAGAATAGTTGTAGGTGCTGGAACTTTAAGTTTCACGTTATCCAATAAGAACAATAAAAAAAACATCTGTCAAAAACTGATGGCAAATACAGTCAAATAATGCAGATAATTCTTATAATAAACGCCCTTTCAATACTTCAAATCCACCACGCTATTAATAAGCCTTAATATAGGATGACACTCTGTCATTATGCATTAAAATAAGTTGTTATTTAGAGCTCATTTCTAACTGTAAACATGCGACGCACAATAATGACGTAATTTACAAAAGGAGTATTGAATTTGTCCCTCCGCTGTCGTCGTTAGGAACTAGTTTTTCATAAAACGCCAATAAATAGTGCTGGTAGGCAAATAACGTTTAATTTGTTCATCTTTGTTTTATAAATATGTCGTTTTATTAATTTTTAGATACAGAAATCTGGCTCACCTCACAACATATTTATAAAACTGTGTTTTTTCGTGCGCATGGATCTAAGAAAAGGATGCTTGACGCGATTTCCGCTCTCTCTGGTCCTTTTCCTCCGCTAAAAGGTAACGTGGTCGCTTGGCTGCTAATACCCGGTAAATAAAATAGATATGTTATCAGTCCGTGGTTATTTTTTCACTAATAAAGCTCGATAGCCTGACATAGTTTAATGTTGCATACCTTATTTGACTGTAAACGGTCCTGTTCTATTTATAAAGCTAAGGATAAACGTGCCTGTATGTTGGCTAACTTAGGCCTCACCGTCAACTGATGAGTGAGTGAAGCTAACGCTAGCGGGTTTCGCTAGACGTTAATGTGTAAAATAGAACGGTAATATAAAGTTCCCTGACTAAATATTTATCCATACCTTGTTTAAATCAAAGTTCGAAACGGAATGATTGGCTTTACTTTGCTTAATAAGCTGTTAATAGTTTCTAGAGTTTAAGAATCTTAAGTGGATAGCGATCAGATGCTGGTCAGTGTTTCTCACATAGCCATACACTGTTTTTCAGGTTCATCATGTCGTCCCATTTGCAGTGGATGGTCATCAGGAACTGCTCCAGCTTCCTCCTCAAGAGGAATGGACAGACCTACAGCACTGTAAGTACACTCAGAGCTCCTAGCTACCAAAAAGCCTGCATCTGTGTAGAAGGATGAGAACCAACCTTAATGTTGTGGTATTCCAAAGGAAAATACGATTTTAACACCCTTTTCATTTTATTTCATTAAGCAGTAGTGTCAAAAGTACACACATTTGTTACTTAAGTAGAAGCATAGATACTGCAGTTTAAAAACACTCTGGTAAAAGTTGAAGTGTCAACTTGACCACTTTACTCAAGTAAAAGTTAGAAAATATGTGGTCCAAAAACAAAAAAGATAAAGTAATCTTAAAAAAAAAAAAAAGCCAGATGCCACTATATGAATTGAAAGCTCAAATTTTCGACTATTTCAGAAAATTCTTTGAGATGGGGCCAAGGGTGAGGGGGGGTTTTGTTGGTCTCCATCTCCCAATACTTTCTCATCTGTCCGACCTTTCAGACATTTCAACATCTTTTTCTGAATCCAACATCGTAGCATGGCATAGACAATTCATGTTTGCAGTTTGAAGAACACCTTCTGATGATTTCCTTTAGCTAACAAATGAGTATGTTATGACTCATCCAAGTATACTAGTTTTCACTAGATGTGGATGGTGCCAATTATCATTGGATGGCGAATATGATGTGAAATCAATATTTATAAACATTAAACCGAAGCCAAGAGTAACGAGTAACATTTGTTTTAAAAATGTAAGGAATGGAAAATACAGATACTTGTGTGAAAATGTAATGAGTAGAAGACAGAAGTAGGAAGAAAAATAAGTAATGGAGTGCTATGTTAGAATGACGATGTCTGTGGTTAAAACTTTAAACTGCTGTCAGTTTCTTATATTAGCAGTTGAAACATTTGGGTGTTAAAGTTGCCTAATAAAACTGAGATATTCAAAAAGTTTTCTACATTTTAAATCCAGGATTTTACACAGAGGGCTCAAAGCAATAAGATAAAGAAACATTAAAGTTTTATGTTCTTTCCTGTAATTAAATCTTGATCACTTGTTACAAGTAACACTATAACCCACACCATCTTTTTTGGGTCTCTCTTCAAATGGCTTAATGGAGATATTTAGCTTTCTCCATTTTACTTTACTTGTCCCTCTTGTGCCAATGTCTTGGAAAGGGCTCTGAGTAGCAATCTTTCAGCACCTCTACAGTCTTTAATACTTTAGTTGACCTCAAAAAGATGGGATTTTTGATTGTGGCACTAGAAAACACCAGTCAAGTTAAAAAATGTTGGAGGTTTTTGTTCCACAGTCGGCAGTTTCTTTGTCAACAAAATAATTTCTCATGTTGTTTAGGGCCAACACTTTTTTTTAAATTGCTCTAGGTTCCATAAATTATATTTTGTAGGGAGCAGTTGAACGAAGATTGCTCTTTATTTGTTCATTATTATTTTACTGCAGACAGCATTAATAAGCCTGAAGGTTTATGATTGTTTTTCTGTTTTGTGTTTCATTACAGGAGCCAAACAATCTGAAGTCCAGGAACTCTTTCCGCTTCAATGGTTTGGTGCACAAGAAAACTGTCGGTGTTGAGCCAGCAGCTGATGGCAAGGGTGTTGTTGTGGTGCTGAAGAGACGTGCAGGTAAAAATACAATATTCCCCTTTTAGTATAGCTCATGTTGCATAAAGGCTCCCCTGCAGCCTTGTGTACATTTTAGATGCTTTATGATGATTTAAGAAAAGTGTTAACTCTGTCATGACTGATGTAAAAACTTTTTTCTTTTTTTGCATAGGCCAGCACAAGCCTGCCGCATCTTACGTAAAGGTCACCATCAACAAGAACTCCCGTGCCACCCTCAACAGCCTGAGGCACATTATTCGCAAGAACAACTACAGGAAGGACCTGCGCATGGTGAGTTTTATCTTTGTTTTGCTTCATAGTGTCTAAGAAAGCATTGACTATTTCAAGATTATGATTTGTTGTGTTTTTCTTCCCAGGCTGCCCTGCGTCGTGCCAGTGCCATTCTGAAGAGCCAGAAGCCTGTTGTGGTGAAAAAGAAGCGCACCAGGGCTGTCAAGACAGCATAAACAAATACACATGAAAAATAAATAAAAGCTTGTTTGGAAAAAAAAAACATGACGTATTTCTGTGTCTTTAATAATAAATTTAGTTAATCTAGTTTTTTAAAATATTTCACTGGAGGTCTTTACTAGTATGCTCATGAGACGATACATTAAGAGTAAAGTACCAATATGTGTGTAGAAATGTGAACATTTAACTATTTAAGTTCCAACCTGTTGATCAAACTTAAGTTTCTAGTTTATTTAAAACCTGACCGGCCTTTAACGTGATGCATGAACCAGTAAGATCAAAGTAAAAGCTTGGGTGGCACAACAAAAAAAAACTTTTTTTAGACGCATCTTTTCTCTAACACACCTGAATCTAAAGGCTGTATTCCCTCACGTAGCTCAGCAGTGGCATGGTAAAAAGCCACTCATTTGATTCAGGTGTGTTTAAAACAGGGTGCATCAAAAAGATGCAGGATAACTTTTGTGGACTGAACCTGTGCAGCCCTGTCCAGGACCTACAGAAAAATATAGAACCAACTAGATTTCTTTAAGTGCTAGCTACTTTTAGCAGGTTGCTAGAAGTGCAACTTTTACCATAACAGTTGCTGTTTTAAAACTTGATTGTGACTTGTGTGTTTTATTCATCACAGTTCTTGATATGATCAGATATATTTCCAAACTACTGATAGTCCTAAAAGTGAGGAAGTAACCTTTCAGTTAGCAATGTGCAGCAACAGGTGGGGTAGGGGCCGTGCTGCATTAAACAATGCCTCAAATGAGCAAACATTAGCTGTTTGCTAATGCTAAATAGGTGGCTATAGGGCTTCAAATCAAAGACAAAATGACTGCTGTTTTAGAAATAAGTTTTTAAAAGCTTTATACTTTGGCCAACATGGTAGAAATAACCTAGAAAAAAAAAAAAAAAAATTTGGACCTTTTCTTCACCTAGAGTGACTTTGCAGCAGCTACAAATGGGTCAGAGAGGACCATCGGTTTAACTGACCTAATTTTATTCAGAGCAAATTGTCTGACATCACTGACCAGAACTCATTATCTTTAGCTTATATAGGTGATGTTATTAAATATGAATGAAGCAATAGTTTATTTGTCAGGATTTAATTTGCCATTAGGAGATTCACCAGACAACAATGGCTGTATTTAACTTCCCAATTAAGAATACTTTAGGAAGATTGATCACCTATTTCTCCTATAGTCCTGAAAGTGCTAAGTTTGCTTCTGAACCTGTACCTGGACTAGTCTGGTATTTAATCAGTACATCATTTTCATGCCATGATTCTGCAGCTAACAGGCTTTGTGCTGCTGTGCTCACTGATGTAGAATAATTTGATAGATTTTTAAGCAGCCCGCTGGCAGCTTTCCACTCATGGCTTTGGAATTAAAGATCAAACTCCTACCACCCCCACCCACCCATTTAAGCTCATAAAACCTCCCACACCAATCACCAGGGGATACAGATGCACAAAATGGAAACAACGTCCATCTGTCAGTGAAGAAATGTAGAGGCCTCTGTGTGGTGGTCATTATGACAGGATTGAAACCAGTGATTTTCTTCTTGCTGCTGATGCTGCTGGAGCTGGAAGGTCAAGGCTTTGAGCTCCAGGATACAATCCATGCCCTAATAGAGGAGAACATTCACCTCCATGATCAACTGGAAAACCTTACGCAAGCCCTCGGAGAGCTGAAACGAATGCTGTGGCATCACACTAATGGTATGAGATTGTTGCTTTTTTTTAATCTATGCTGTGCAAACAGAAAATAAAAGACAAGACTATGATAGTAGCAAAATGTAAGATGCCCCTTATATTTGAATTTCTTCAATTCAGTTTATATTCAATTCACAACACATGTCATCTAAAGGTACTTCACAGAGACAATTCAACCAGATCATACAGTCAGATTGTTTCAGAGTTTTCTATCTAAGAAAAAACAGCTGACTGTATCGATTTATTGACTCAAAGGAAATCCCTCACACCAAACATGCTTGTTACGACAGTGGAGAGGAAAAACTCCCTTTTAACAGGAAGAAACCTCAAGCAGAATCATGCTCAGTGTCAGGAGCCATCTGTCAAGAGCGACTGGGGTTCAAGGAGTCAGAAGCAGACATACAGAAAGAAGCAGAGATACAAAGGGCAACTCCGATATCAGGCTGGGATTTGGACTCAAGACCAAATCCCACCTCAAGAGAGAGATCCGGTTTTTAACTATCGGCACACCATCCAAATCAGATTTTTATTTCCTGCTTTGATGATTTCTGATGATACACCAGAGTAACCAAGGCTGTCTTGACTGCTGCCTCTAGTTAAAATTGGTTTGCAGTTTTGCATAAATCTTTTTTGCCTGTTTGATCTGTTGAACAGTTCTCCACAAAATGAGCAGTGAATATCATTTCATAACCTCTCCACAACTGGGCACTACAGAAATGTTTCTAAAAACAAGAAAATGCCAAGGGAAAGATATTCACTCCAAGTGAAATTATCTGTGCATTTAGTGAAATAATTTCACTTAAGTAACACTTCTTAATATACATCAATATATTTATAATATACCTTAATCTTGGAACCAAATAATTTGCAGTGTGCACTTAACATGTCTTGTGTGACTGCTAATGTTGACAGATTGACTCTAGTTGCCAATTAGGGTCCTTCTGAAGACATAAGCAAAAAAGAAACAAAAAAAAAGCTACTTTTTACTCTAGAAACTGACAAATAAAACACAAATAAAAGTGCATAAATTACTTAACTTTTTCTTTGTAAAAAAAAAACAAAAAACACACAGTAGGTATAGCTATAGTGTATTTTTCCTTAGCTATATATATATATATATATATATATATATATATATAGCTTTAAAGTAAAGCTAAAAAAGCTGCTGTGTTTCACATGCAGATCCGGATCATTATGAACACCACAGGCATCGTAATGAAGACGTTCAGCACCTGTGGGAGGAATGGTCACAACACGGTGTGTAGCGCTAAGGACTACTGAGATATAATAGTGGATTTACTGGGTTTGGTAGCAGCACTATTTACAGCTGCAGCTGCAGAGAGCCAGTAAACCTACAGTATTAGCTTTTCCTACTTAGATCCAGTACAGGATAATGAGAGTGTGCTTCTCCCTCTGTAACAGGCATCAGTGCTGAAACTCATCTGCTGCTGGAGAACGCCTTCTGTGGACATGATGTGAACAGCTCAGCAGCCCCTTTCTATGAGGAAGCAATCCCCCTGCTCCTGTTGCTGCCCTGTCTCACAGTGCTTTACAGCTGCCTGTAGACTCAATTAACCTGTTTTCTTTGCCACACAGTTGTCTTATTGTTGGACTCAGAATCTCTTGGCATGATGGGATTAATCTGGGAACCAAACAGTGATTTAATCAAGCGGTGAGTTTTGTTGCCATCTCAGGGATAATCACTCCCCAGATTCATCCATCTGAGAGCGATTATTCCCAGGATGGATGAGTTCACCTTTAACTCTGAATTAGCCATATTTTGCAAACTGGTTTATATTCTTTCATTTCTATAAATCAAACCCACAAATATATGTGTATTTTATTAGGATTTTATGTAACAAACCACCTTATAGTTATGAGTCAATTTGTGCCACACAACCATAAAGGCCAATAAAATAAATAATATTTTGCTGGCGTAATTTGAAATATAAAAAAGTCACAATAACAGATTTTAAATGCTTTGGTTACCTATAAATAAAAAACTAACAATGAAACTGCATTTTGTTTTATTTGCATTTTTATTGTATTAAGTCCAATTATTAACCTTTCCACACCGTAATTTTCTTTTTTGTTTTTTCTAAATCCATTGGCATGATAAAAAAAATAAATAAATAAATAAATAAATAAGGGTGAACAATTTTGCATAGATTTCAAGCACACCTACAGTTTCCAGGAAAACAGCAGATAACCATATGGTGTTTAATGCCATAATAACATAACGGCCTGAAGAGATTAAATACTGGATTTTCTTTTTATTACATTTTTCAGGGTGACTCTAAAGGCAAATGGTTTAGATTTTCATTGCTATTTTGACAAGATAGAGCTACAGATGATGGTGCTTTTTTGGGATAAAGTTTGAATTGAAAAATTTTGCTCAAAACAAGAAAAAGTATCATAAAATGATTTCTCTTTTTGTCTCAACAGAGACTTACATTCAAGGGAATCACGGGGGAAAGCTTTAGATCCAGTTGCAGTATCTGATATTAATGGAGCAGAGAAGGAGAATGATTTTTTTCTACAAGTTCTGATTGCACTGGTGGATTTATGAAGGAGATCAAGTCCTGTGAGCGTAGCCTTTGGCGAGATGTTTAAGTGAAAGATATGAGGAAAAGTAGGGTGGAAGATAAATATTTAAATAAAGCAAGTGTTTAAAATTGCTAGGGAAATAGAAGTAAAACATTTAAGTTTCATGGTGTAGAGATTCGCAAAGGCCACATATTCTCATGCAAGGTTGTTCATATATTTGCAAAGACTAACTCTAGTAAAATAGAAATAACCTTCTCTAATGTGAGACGATATCTTTTGGTGACAGGGGAAGCGTTGGAGTCGTGTTTGGTTTGGAGATGGAGACTGGGCTTCAAACCTGCAAGAAAGAGCTGCAGCTGTTAATGTTTATCTTGGGATAGCAGGCTAGATTCTATATAGTCGCAAGCAGGCCTATATTTTTTGGTTAAAACTAACAACACCCATCTGCATTTTGATTTATTCAACCTCAAACCTATACATTCTGCATTCTTTCTGAGTCTTTTTTTTTTTTTAAGAGTGTTTCTTACCCTGCTGCTCAGGGCTATTTTTTTTTTTTTTTTTTTAAGAGTGTTTCTTACCCTGCTGCTCAGGGCTAATTGTTTTAGTTGTGTCTCCCCTCCAGCATACCTGATTGAACAGATACCATTACTTCCTCCTCAGCAGGCATCAAATGCTGCAGATGCCTGTCAACGAGCCGTTCAAACAAGTCTGTTCTGTGGCAGCTTGTTAACACTTAAAACGAGCAGGATAGTGAGCCCTAATGGCCATTCTTTAAAAAAGAAAAAAAATATTTCATTTTGAAACACGCTGCAGTTTATTTCAGGTTACAGCACATAGAAAAGTTACAAAACTAATAAAATGTCAGTCTGGAATTAAAGGTTCAACTTTGTCAAGAGTGAAACATTTCATAGAGCTGACAAGTTAGGAAACAATGCAGAGGAATGAATGAACACAGAAGATAGAGGTTAACCATGAGAGCTTCAAGGAATAAATGAACTGTACATACAGCCATATTACTCTCTCTGTGTTTCAAATATGATCATGTCCAAATATTCAGAATGGAATGATATGAAGTCATTTACTTCTTCTGCTTTGGCTCTGGTGCTGTAAGATGAGAGCAGGACCTCTACAAGGGGTTCTCAGAAATAAATATGATATACAGTCCATGCTAACGGGGTGTGCAGGTTTACCAAATGAAATGTACATACTGGATAATAGAGAACTAGTCTATGTCAAGGTCTGAGTCTTCATCGCTCACGTTGCTCTGAATGATGGCTCCGTTACGAAGTGTTTTTGGGACGATAGGGGGCTTCTCCGGCAGCAGGCCGTACTCCTGTAGAAGCGCCTCCAGGTCTACGGCGAAGAAATCCTCCCCAAGCTGGTCGGTGAGCCGCACAAAGTTGCCTATCAGGTCTCCTGCTTTGTAGACGAGCAGAGCGGGCAGGGCGCTCTCTCTGAACAGCTCGCTGGTGCTGATGGCTGAGCTGCGCACGCTGCAGAACTTCACCAGAGGGTATTCCTGTGCCAAGCACATCAGGCAGCCGCTCATGGCGTCGCAGCCGGGGATATCTGGCTCATAGATGTGGATCATTATCAGTGTACTCTTGTCCTCGTTGTCCAAAGCCTCCAGGAACTCCTCCCCGCTATTGAGCTCATGAACGCGCTCAAAGCGTTTTCCACGGCAGAGCTGGCGCCGCATCTGTTCGATGCGCTGCATGCGGTACTGCTGCAGGAAGTCTTCATCGTCCTCTTCCTCCTGGAGCATGTTGTACTCCTGCATAGTCATCTGTGGAACAAGAGAAAAACAAGAAAGTCACCTAATGTTCAGGAGAATTTGTTAGATCAGATCACAATGAATTCTGTAAAAAGTGAATAGATATCTATGAAAATAAATTGTGTTCATTAGTCATTATAATTGTGTTACTAGTAAGGTCATAAAAAAGATAACATTGACAGCTAGTTTGTAGATTCCTAAGTTTAGGCTCCTACATAGTTTTTCTTAGTGATTCCCAATTCCTTCCTGCTTACTTTGCTTTTAATTTTGTCCTGAAGCTTCTTCTCCTCCTCTTTGTCTTTTTTCAGGTCAAGGTCTGAGCGGCATGTCATCGACAGCTTCTTTATCAGTCTTTCCATTTCCCTTTTCTGCTCCTGCCTCTGTTCCACTTCCAGCTGCTTGTACTTCCTCCAATCATTGATGACTCCCTTTGGACCTGAAAGGGAACATTCAAAATCCATGCTTCCATTTATTATTAATGATCAAAAGGCCGAAAGCTTGCAAAAGTGTTCACATACCTCAGAATTCATCACAATTTGTTACAGCAAAACCAAATTCTAATGCTTTTGTTAGGATTTTAGGGGATATATTACCACTAAGCAGTCAATAAATGTGAAAGAAACATGATAAAAATTATCAAATTTGTCTTTACAAATAATAATCTGAAAAGTGTGGCATAAATGTGTATGTATCTTTATTGTATGTATGTATGTGACTTTATTTGTGATCAGATATGAAAATAAATAATAGATTTATTTATGCTTTTGTTATTTTTCCTATAGAGTAGGTTAAGGTTAAAAACACATAACAAATTGCAATTTTCAAGACACTCAATGATGGTCGGATTACATTTAACAAGACCTAGAGACTAATTTTCCCCCACTCTAGTCATTTAATTAAATTAAATTCAGTTTATTTCTATAGCAACAATTCACAACATTTCATCTCAAGGCACTTTAAAGTTCACCAGATCAGAAATTTACTTCCAGCCAGTCATGCAAGTAGAAGTGAGAACTTTTCCAAACAAAATTTACGGTAAAGTCCTGCAACAATGGACTCTGGACAAAAAAGCTTTCAAGGCCATAAAAGAGCTGAAACCAGGGAGTGACACATTTACATGTTTGTGGTTAGTGCAAAGGAAATTTAAATAAAATTTTAATATTTGTTGAAAATAATCACAATTTAGATTTTTGGCTAAATGGATCCTAATTCAGAATGAGAAATTATAAGCAAACAACTGTTGAACTTTAAAGAGTCTTTTATTTGCGAGTGCCAAGATGAAAGTCTAAGGAGGTCAGTTTCAGTTAGGCATAATCTATGACGGAACACAGCAAACCTGGGGAAAAAGGTGCTTTTAGTCAGGTTATTTATAAAATGTTGCTTTCCATCCAACAGTAAATATGCTTTTTGAGGTGGAAAACTAATACACTACATAATCCTGAATGCACCTTCCCTAGGGTAAAGCATGGTGGTAGCAGCATTATGCTGTGGGATGTTTACATCTACACGGTAGCTGGTTTAGTGATTGAAGAAAATTCCCAGAGAAAAACTGACTTTAGACTTTATATCAGGGGTATTAAACTCCACTCCTGAAGGGCTGGTGTTCTTCAGCATTTAAAAGAAAAACATACAGCTAGAATTACTACTGATTTGTCTGTGTCTGCCGAAGTATGTTTAACGGCTGAAAACTCAAAAGTCCAGAACTACCAGTAACTCCAACTGACAATCTATGGCAAGACTTAAGCCGGGCTTACACTGTACGATTTTTCGCCCTTATTGGGCCAACTTTCCAGTCGTGTGAGAATTTTTTGATCGTGTAGTGTACAGGGGGTAAAGAGGGGAGATCAGCCTCTTACAACCAACCTTACGATCAGGAATCGTAAGGTTGAGATAACATCAAACATGTTGGCCGTCGTGGGCAAATCGCTCAGTGGGCATGCTAAAAAAAAAAAAAAAAGATTTTTCTTCTTCTTCCTCTCAGATGAAAACAAAAGCATGGCAGGGGTGCAAATGAAATGGAGTTCTTACTGTAAAATTGACAGACCGTAGTAGCCAGGTTTGCTCAGCCATGTCTTTGTCCTAATACGTCGTCGACTCTTCTTTTTAGGGCTTTTAGCACAAAATTGCACAAATTGTCAAGGCAGCGCGTTTCACTCCAGTGAGGTTCATATTCCTCTTCTACTCATTTGGCTTCCAGATAGACGAGTCAGAGTAGCGCCATCTCACTGTGGAGCAGAGTCCGATGTGGTTTTTGGACTTACAATGTGAGCATGTAGATCGCATCAGAGCGTCAGGTCGCACAAGGTGAGAAAATACATTGTGAGCTGTAGCTGCGTGCAACAATTGAAAATAAAAATAAAAAAATAAAAATCGCACAGTGTATGCCCGGCTTTAAGTTTTTAAATTTGAGAACAGCATAAAAAAAAAATAAAATAATAATCAAAAAACCTGGGGCTGTATCCAGATCAGAGCAATTCTTTTCTTGGAATATTCTCACAACCATTCATTCCCACCAAGCTGTGCAAAATTTTGACCTGGGCTGAGTAAAAACAAACACTTCAAGAAGCTTGAATATTGCAGCAAAAGCAATACTTTGGGACTGATCGATATGGGACACTCACACCCATCGATGTGAATTTTGCATCCACGTTTTAATTCCCTCACAAAGCAATACAACATATAAATAAACTCATTAAGGATTCGCTCTGTGTTACCTGTGTTAACAGCACTTCCATCTGCACTGTAGTCTATCTCTGGCTCAGAGGCACTTGCATCACGGATAGTCTTTTTCTCCCCATCTTCATCTTCATTGTCACTGCCTTCATCCTCACTGCTGCTGTAGTAGTACTGCAGCTTCTCGCCCAGCAACTTGTCATCCAGAGTCGTCATGGCAGCGGCCCAGCTGTGGAAACAAACTAGGAAATATCAGACTATAGCTCTATAATCGCTGTCTGATTGATCACACTCCTCATATAAACTCACGTGTATTTAAGCTCTACTATAATCCACACTACAGACACCCAAACGTTCATTAAGACAAAGAGAAAAAGCCTATTTGGAAAATAGGACATCAGCTGATTAAACTTAAGCTGAAAGGCCTGTTGGGTGGGTTGCTCTGATCAGTGTAATATGACACTGGAAGCCAAATAGACCAGAAGGCAGTCACTGTAAACATCTATCTTAGCTTTCCTTTTTCTTAAACACTCAATTAATATGATAAAATTACAATGAAGGTCAGTATAGACACTTTTAACATCTCTGTAGTTATTATAGGGTATGTGCGATTAATGAAAGCTAACAGGCCTTTAATAAACCTGGCGATGTTAATCCATTGCAACGTACTCCAGGATTTTAGTCAGTATTTTCTCTGTGTATAACAAAAAGTTAATACTGATTAAAAAACTCTGGAAAATTCCTAACACACCGTTTTAATATAAAGTGGGTATAGCCACATTAGCATTAGCTAAGGGGCTAGCTAGCTCTCATTCTAGACTTAAATGGCACAAGTCGACGAATTTATTTTGTGTCACAAAAACTAAAACTAAAAAACAACCATTAGACTAACAAATTTATAACTACTTACTTTAGAAAACACACAGTAACCGCTTTACAGTAGCGCCTCGCTTAGCCAGCCCTCTGTTTAGCTTGGTTCGCACAAACCACGCCCCTTGCCAATGACGCATTTAAAGAAACTCTGTAAATATGAATTACAAGCTTAAACGCAACCAACACTTTTCCTTTGTTTTTGAAATTTTTTATCTAACGTTTTTATTTATTATTATTATTTATTTATTTTATTTTTACCAACGGCAATGCTTTGTTGTTGTGGGGCTTCCAAACGGAAATAAAACTTGCCTGAGGATTGAAAGGGTGAAACAGAAGTTCTGCTGAAGAAAAGACTGTCAATAGAAGAGGGAGCAGGAATTGATTTTGTTGTAAGATATATTTACATTTTAAAGTAAAATCAACAGATAAAAAGCAATTAACCTCTACTGATCATCCACATTCCCTTGTGACATTTTTAAATGTTTTTCACAGTAAAACATTTATATTTATATTTGTCTATCTCTTTAGGAGCAACAGATGCGACCAGAAGTAGATTCCAGAGATCAATGGAAAGAGACAGAGTTAAAGTCTGCTGGCCTATAGGATGAGAATTAGAAAGTATAGTGCAAAGTAATCAGAAGCTCAAATGAAGAGTATGATGCCGCCACACACAATTATTCTCTTTTCTGTACATTATGATCAGTGTCTTAGCATTGATCTGATTTCAGTATTAGATTGTTCTTTTCTTTTTTTGATGATTCCACCTATTTATGGTGATATTTTCCTATGTTTACATAAATTTCTCCACTGTGAGATCAATAAAGTCAATCAATCAATCAATCAATTTACAACTAATTTTCATGTTATACTTAATCCCTCCACCAATTCGCTGCATATTACATCAGTCCTTTACTTGAAGGCCCTGAATGCAACAACATGACGTCAAAGGGTTAAACTCTGCTGCAGACGTTACATGTAATTAGAAACAATTCCACTAGAGGGCGACGTGACCCTGAAACGCGGAATAAATAGTTTTTTGTTACAAAAGTTGGAACTGCGTTTGGCTAAACCACGCAAATGTTTAGCGTAGCTTTATAAAATATATTTCTGTAGAGGCCTAGAATTAAACAAAAAGAAAACGAGAATAGAATAAAAAAGGACAAAGGAATAGATTAACACAAAAGGAAGAAATGGAAAAAAAAGAACATAGAAAAGTAAAAACAAAAGAACTCAAGAAAGGAAGAAATGACTGGATTATAGAGAAATTAAAGACTAAAAGCAGACAATAAAAGTAGGAAGCCATGACGCAAGACATGACATTTAATTAGATAGATACATATTCTGGGAACTCATGCATCAAATTCCATCTTCCGTGCAGTTTCCTGCACAGGGAAACTGCAGCTTGCAACAAATATGCATTTTTATTCGGGCAGTGATTTCCTTTACATGTTCTACAAAACGCTTTGGGGTGCCAGCACTGTTATAAAACAAAACAATGTAGCTTTAATCATCTAAAAGAAACAGGCTGAAAAAATATTGCCTGAATATTTGAATGAATGTATTTCTCCAAAAGGGGTTACTTATCTGTTATCTATCCCAAATGCTTTCCTGAAATTTCTCTGAGTTTTCTATCTTTTTGTGTTTCAACACTTTAATGCTGGTGGGTAATGGATTTATTACGCCCACGCTTCCATATTATTGTTTGATTTTCCGTTCCCGTCAGGGTTGAAGTGCAGGCCAAAATAAATACAGGTTCAGAGATTTCAGTTCATGGGGCAGACACCCTTGAGATATAAAGAACAATAGATGTTACCTGCCAATTTTTATTAATCCTTTACAGCATATTCTGCAGCTAAAATGTACTCAATAAAACTATTTACCAACAAATACACATCTTTATTCTCTGACAGTGCAAAAATTACAAATTTTCAGTCTTTAGGAATTTATTAAAAAACAGATGTTTTACTCCTCACTGCACTGATGTGTTTGTTCAAGTGTAGGACAGCCTGCAAGATGGCAATGGGAGAGTTGGAATTCTTGCAGAACAGACTGTTTAATCATTTGCTTGTTTTTTGCAGTCACTCCGAAACCCTCAGGCTGAAGAGTAGAAAACATAAACCTCCTGGGTCTGCACATGGTCATAGCTCATTGCTTCGTTCTCTCCCATCGTTCCTATCTGGTTTCTCCTCTGCTGGAACTCTGAACGCCACATAGGGGCACGTCCTGGAGTTCAGGCACACCAGCTTCTTCAGAGTGGCAGAGTTTACGATGTCGAAGCCGACTTTGCCTCCAAATGTGCTGGGCTTCCAGTATTCTGGAGAACATATGGGGTTTCCCAGGAGGCCTTTGAGGGAAAACGGAGCACCCATTTCCACCATGCTTTGTCCAAAGATGGCCCCCGGTCGAGTCTTCTCCAGCAGTAACCCAGGATAAAATTCAAGAGCGTCAATATCACCATAAAGCTCTTCAAGAGTGCTGGCTATCTCCTCGTTATCTGGAAAGAAATAACCAAACGTATCACTACACACATACAATGACATTACAATGTTATGTGACAGATCCAAACAATATCTAAGGTATCTGAAAAATAAACATGCGAGTAGCAATACTATAAGGTGGATCGTAGACTGCTTGGGATTTCTAAACTTCGGAATACTACAGTGAGCACTGTCAGGGCCATAGTCCGGAAGTTGAAAGAATATTATTTCACCATAAACCGACAATGACCAGGTCTGACCAGGATTTAATATAATTATCAGAACAGTTGTCAAAGAGCCAAAGACCACTTGTGGAGAGTTTTAGAAAGACCTAGAATTAGCAGGTACAATTGTTTCAAAGAAAACAATAAGTAGTGCTTTCAAACATGGCCTGTATGCAGCATGCACAATCACCATGCAAGAGTCCATTGCTGAAAAAAAAAAGCATGTTGAAGCTTGTTTAAATGTTCCTGCTCAGCATTTTGCACAGTCTCCCAGTATTTTACAGACAAACCTGTGTAATACTGGGAGAGTATAGTCTGGTCAGACCTTTGGATGTTTAGAGGTGGGAACATCATAGTGTGGGACTGTTTTCAGCTTATGGTACTGCAAACTTCAAATAATTAAAAGACGGATGAAAGGAAAAATGTAGAGACATTCTTGATAAAAATCTGCTGCCATCTACCAAGATGATGAAGATGAAACATGGGTGGACATTTCAGTAAGACAGTGATCCAAAATACTCAGCCAAGGAAACTCAATAGTTTCAAAGAAATAAAATAAAGCTGCTAGATTGGCTCAGCCAATGGCCTGACTTGAATCCAATAGAAAATCTATGGAAAGAACTAAAGATCAGAGTTCATAGAAGAGGCCCAAGAAACCCTTCAAGATTTGAAGACTGTTTGTGTGGAAGAATGGGCCAAATCCCACCTGAGCAATGCATGCAACTAATTTCTCCATACAGCAGAAATCTTGGAGCTGTCATTGTCAACAAAGCATTTTGTACAAAGTATAAAATAATTTCAGTAAGTGTGTTCAAAACTCCTTCGGTAGCACCTGTAGAAATATAATAACTAAAAAAATGGTGACGTGTTCAATACTTATTTCACCAGCTGTATCATAGACATTACTGGAAATGCATTCATAAGTCTTGAACTTTTTCACACTTTTTTCAGGACAGAACCAGAGACTTTAGAGTATATGGGGATTCCATGTGTTGGCAGAGCCAAAAAAGGGTCATAATGATGAACTGAAGGAAGGAAATGAAGTGTTTCATCACCCAGGAAAATATCTAGTCATAGGAAAGCCCATCTGGCATTTAAAGCTCACTGAGAACATGTGGAAGAAAGCGTACTGTCTAGATAAAAGCAACATGTAACCTTCGTTTCTTCATGCAAAAGCTTTTGTCTTGGAGAAGACATACTGCACATCACACTTAATTAGGGTTGGCCCGATAAAACGTTTTAATTTAGGATATGCTATAACAATATTGCAGCTTTGAGAATTGTCCGATATTAGCATGAATCCTATCAGCTGTTATTACTTAATTTATTCTGTAGGATGTTAAAAAAGGCTTGATCGATCAATTTTACTAAAACTAAAGAAAAGGAACTAAAGTCAACAACAAAAGGTATGAAAACAACTGCCCTATGTAAAATTAACCCATGAGTTACAGAATCTTTTAACAGAAGCAGAGTGTTTCTATCATCATTAAAATATCTGAGATTTTAGATGATAAAATCTGATAGTTTTTTTTGTCTAACATCGGGCCGACATCTGATATCAGTGTCCGATTGGGATATCCCTACCCTGAACACACTGTGTAACACTGTTGTGGCAGCTTTTTGCTGTGGAGATGCCCCATTTCAGTTGAGTTAAAGTAATGGGTGGAGATAAAAAGAGGAGCATTCATAAAGAAAATCTGTGAGGAGCAGTGAAGTACTTCAGACCAGACTTGAAGCCCATCTTCTAACAGGAAAAAGATCCTAAATGTTCAACCATAGCTACAATTAAATGGTTCAGATGAAGCCCATTTGTGTTTCAGCGGCTCTGTCAAAGTTTCCATCTAAATCCAAATAATCTAAATCTTATTTAATTTGAGTAAACTTGAGCTATTATGCAAAGAACTAGCGAAAATTTAATCCTACAGATATACAAAGACGATACATACATAAATAGATTGCAGACTAAATGTTGTTTGCAAATAATCAAAAAGAAAGCAGAACTTTCCTCCCATATCATGTATAGATAAAATTGGATTTTAATGATTAAGATTCCCATTAAAATAAGCTTAAATGCAAGGTTTTGATGGGTGAAATTGAAAATAGTTTTTTAAAGTGTTAAATCATTCACACAGCTAATCTTTTCTGATCCTCCCCTAAAACTGCTGTAAGAAAAAAGCTAAAATCTTGTCTTTTTTTTTGTGTGTGGCCTAACTAACCAACAGGTTATTTACCTTATTTTACATGTTATTCCTCTGAGAATATAGTGTCACTGGCCCTCTGAGCTTTCAAGGAATCTTTCAAAAATGAACCGATGAGCATTGCTGGTTTAGGTCAAACCCTTTCTGGCCTCGTAAAGTGAGCAATGCCGTTTTAAACACTCTCAAATATTTTGGACCCTTACTGTGGTGGCTGCAGTTTCTTTGGCCAAAAGTCTTTCCTGTTTGCAGAACTATTGGACATAGATCACATCCCAAAGCATCAATAAAAAGTGCATATTTCACTTACATAATCGGAGCATTAGAATTACTGACACAGTCATTAAGATGGTTTCATTGGAAGATGTTAAATCTATGCTTTCGCCATAAAGTAGATGCCTAAATGATTAGATTATGTGTATCTAATTAGGGAAAGTCAGAAGGTCAGATGGTGATGAGGCTGAAATAGAGAAAAAAAGCAGAGGTTTCTTTGACAGCTGTCGGAGACCCTCTGGTGGAGCTAAACTCGTTATTCTAAGGAGGAAACGTAGGTGTTGTGTAAGTACAAGAGTTGTTAGAAAATAATGAATCATATCTTATTAAGGAGATGGAAGCTGACAGCCAGTCATGGGTGACTACCCTTGAAACAAACTATCTGAATATATCCATCCCCTAAACCAGTGTTTTCTAAAAGAAGATCAGTGAACTACGAGCTTTATCCAGCTGTGGGTCTCTAGTGTTGATTCCCTCAACACCTCAGGCTCAGCCAATATGTAGCTGCTAAATGCAACTCCACTGAAGGGATGTGTTTTCTCCCTGTCTTTAATATCTAAACTCCTGCATCAAAAACTCTCTCAGCCTCAGTAATATTGAAGATTGGGTTAGAAAGATTAATACATGAATCCAACCATTTCTCTGCTGCTGAATTAAACTGCTCCTGTTCCAGCCAACCTCTGTAATTAAAGAGCCTAAATAAGATGAATTTAGAAGTTATGAGCATTCAATTTTAGATTCATTGTCATTTTGCCTTAGACTGGGCAACTACAAATGAATTAAAACAGCATCCCTGGTATTTACGTCTTTGTCACTAAAACTGTTTCTGCCTGATACTAATATCAAAGTTGTCATTAGAGTCTGGGGCTGCTGGTAACAGGTGTGACTGTGTTATCTAGCTGGCTCTAGGGCTGCTTAGCCTTTCAGCTGAAACAGGGCGTGATGCTGGAATGTAGGTAGTTAATGGTTCGACAAATCCCACCCGAAACCAGCTTAAACAGGCTGCACAGGGGTTCTGCTTCAGGAAGACTCATCATGCCCAGGAGGAAAACTTGTTTGAGCACAACCTTTGCAAGAGTGCAAGAGGGTGGGTTATGTAGGTTTACAGGGGGCAATAAGCAGTCCTTGACTCAACAAATAAGCCAGACATTCTCACAGAAAGCTGGAAATTCCATTCTTAATGTTCTGAGTCAGACCTGCGACAGCAGTGGTTTTTCTCACCGGTGAAGTCTCTGAACGACGTGTACGGCTCCAGGTTAAAACGCTTCCTGTACTCATTAAAAGGCTGGACCCGAAGCTGGCGCGACTCCTTTATTGTTCGCACGGCAACATTGGTGACAACAGAGTTCATGTTGTAGCCTCCACCGATCTGCAGGGAAAACATTTAAAGATGATGAGGCAATGTTTAAGACAAATGGTTTATTTAATTTAACAGAATCCGTTTCTGTTTGCATTTTTTGACACTCATGCCACATCTGCAGTAGCTACATCTATATGCTTGTTTTTCACCTTAAAGACTCAAAATACCTAAATTGAAAACATTTAGCAGCAAAATTTATTTTATTAATTTACATCAAAATCATTTACTTTTATAGAAACAGTTAATTTTTAAATTAGGAAAAAAAAGGGACTCCATTATCTTATTTCAAGTGCATATCTAATTATCCTATATTTACATGCTCAAATTAAGGGCAGTTGTTCTAAGAAATCTCCACTTAACTTTAGATAAGTTTTTGTAGTGCAGATCTAAATTGAAGGTAGAATGGGAGATGCATGTGCAGCTGATTAATGCTGAGCTCCTGAATGATCCTGTCCTGTCAATATATATAAGTCTCTGAAGATTTTATCAGACCATTTATTGAGCAAATAATTGAGGTAGTTCTGATAAAAAAAAGGTGGTCTAAATTGGTTTTTGCATCTTTTTTGCCCAAAATATTCACTCCCCGATCCAAATATTTAAAACCAACTTTTGGATCACTTCCATGGAGACCGGTGTATAAAATAAAGCACCAAGGCAAGCAGACAGTTTCCACTAACATTTGAGTGACACTTGATCCCTCTTAGGAGCCCAGTGAACTCCAACAGGAGGTGTAAGGATGCAACCTGTGCAACAGGTCTTGTGATAAAAATTCCTCTGTCCTCAATATCCACCGTGAATCATCTGCAGTATTATGAGAAGATGGAAGCAACTTAGCCACAAATCAGTGGGCAACGTAATCTGATTGAGCATGGCAAGCAGATGCTGTGGTTGATATAGATCAAGGACTTTTTGCAACTTCAATCTCTACAGACCTCTAAAGTTCCCAGCTAAGAGAAAAGCATAGAGAGTCTCATGGAAGAAGTTTCAACGGTGGAGCAGATGTATCCACAACATACATGAACAAATTTAATACATAGCACTGTGTGAGGTGGTGAAAGGCAAGCTGCCATGGGTTTCTAGAGCAGAACTCATAGCAAGAGATTTTGAACAATTCAATGCTCCCCACTTTCTGGAAACAGTTTAGACCTTGCCTTTTCCACTTTCTTCATGGCTGTGCAAACATCCATGAGGCATGGATAAGAAAGTTTGGTGTGAATGAGCCTGACTGGCCAGCAAAGAAATCTGACCTCAACCTCATAGAAAAACTTTGGGATAAACTAGAGCAGAAATTGAGAGCCAGGCCCTCTAACCAGAAATCAGTCTATGACATCACAAATGTGCTCCTGGGAGAACGGTCCAAAATTCCTCTTGTGAACAGCTTTTTCAGAAGAGTTCAAGTGGTTACAGCTGCAAAAGCAGGACCAATGTCATATTAGGAACTATGGGATATCACTTAAGTTCATTTGTGAGTCAAAGGGAGAGAAACCACTTAGCAATATACTGCTGCTGTACCTAGTAAAGAGTTCAGTGAAAGTTAAAAAAAGATCAATCAGAAATTATTTGCGAAAACTTTGCTCTTCTTATGCAATAAAACCTCCTAGAATCCACAAGCACGTACTTGGGCTTCCTCTTGTGTACTCAGATGCTTACTTAGGGCGTTGTCCTACATTAAGCGCCAGAATATCTTTCAACCATTTTTTTCCCTTTTACTTCCCTTGTTAAAATGTTATCATCTTTAAAGGACAATGCAGCAAAAAAGGGAAATGCAACACATCACTGGCTTGTGACCTTCCCACAATTGGAGATAAACTATAAGATTAGACATTTGTTACAACCATAACAGGCCTAAATCACCAAGATAATTGGCCCTCAGAGCTTCGGCATGTTAGTTGTAGATTGATACCTGGCCAGCAGGTTGCCGTGAGAAGGCATCCACCAGCTTCTCCACGCCATAGTGTGTGAGGACAGATGTGTTGAAGAGGAACTGCGAGTACGACAGTTCGTCCCCGTTAATGTGGAAGCTGTCAGGCATCAGGGGGTGCCAGTGATAGAGCTGGCTGAATTCCAGCGAGATCCGGTTCCCGTACTGAAACTGGGACTGAAACAGCAGGGAGGGATCAAACTTGAGCTTCAGTAGGTAGCCGCTGAGGTGCTGCACGTAATCCTCTATGACGATTCGTATGGTCTCACCTGGAAGACAGGGAGAGAAAACAACAACAGGGATAACATGAGGGTAAACTCATGCAGCAGGATGCTGAGTTAACATCAAATGAACGAACATAAACATTAAATATACAAACGTGACAAAAATTAGCTACTAGTAGAAAAACGTACGAAAATTAACCAAAACGTGAACGATTAAAAAGAAGACAAGGATGGTTTGATCATTTCTGCCATGGCTTTATCAGCTGAATAATTAGTCTTATGTTCTATACGTACATTTACTATATTAACTTAAAAAAATTATATTTGCAAACAAAGTAGATCCAATTAAAAAACAAGCCTGCTTGAATCTTACCCAGGAGCAGTAAAGCTTTCAAGACATCAGCTATTAACCCAGAGAGCTGCTTACAGCCACAAATTTGTCCATATAAAGACTGTGGAAGAAAGGCAGACTCATCTATTCCCAGCAAACCATTTTTTTTTAATTAATACAATTTCTTCATACTGGTTTGAAGGGCTCATCGTGCCTGAAAACTAGTCTGAAAACAAATGCTTTCTAGCCCAGAAGTGACCTTTAGCATGCTATGTTTATGCTGTAATATATTACACTGGTTCACCACTCTGCTTGCACACAACCCTGTGAACCGCATTCTGGTTCTTTTTGATCACTCTAATTAAATCACACCAAAATCTTTAGGTCTTTCTGCTTAGTCTATTTCCTACACATAGATGCTGTTTGCATCAGAGCTGTGGCCATTATAACAACGTTCTTCTTTCTCCTAGTAGTTTGTTCAGTAGGGGCAATTTGGAGGTGTTTGTCCTTCCCCCGAGCTGGTAACCCTATTTCTATCGGAGTGTAGGCGATATAAGTTGCTAGTCCAGTGCTAACATAATTAAGTTGTTGAACTGGCATTAGGGGTCTGCCGTACTTTTAAATCTCTCAAGACTAAACGCGCTACTTGTCACCACCAGGACGTTCCCAGGTGCAATTTAAAGACCTCTCCCAGGTCGTGCTGAAGCGATACCCATTTTGGCTTATTTTCTAATGTTAGAGTGAAATAATATTCTAGTGTAAAGGGAGGCTTAGCTGTTGAGCTAACTGAAGACCAGACATCAGCACAGAATGTCCAGCTCACCTATGATGATGAGGCGGGTGGTCTGGAAGAGCTGCTCGTCATCCCAGGTTGGGTGCTCTGCTTTCAGGACGTCACAGACTCTGTTATGCTCTCTAAGCCACAGCGTGGCATACAACCCCAAACCAGGGAGGAGCCCGAACACCTCCTGACCAATGGCCATCTGTCTCTCTGCAGGGATCCCAGGAGGGTAGCTCATCTTCACAGGAGCATCAGCTATGGTGGGGGGGTACATTTCTCCATTGATTATCTGGTGGAAAACAATAACATATTGTGAGACAAGATATATTTGGTTAATTAACTATGCTCTCTTATTTATGACAGTATATCCATTTAAAGAAGCCTGTTCAGCAGATTTCAAATGATATTGCTAAAAATTAGGATAAATAATAGGAAAACACCATTCCCTAGATTTAAAAAAAAGAAATCTATTTTGTTCTGTTTCATATGTAAAAGCAAAGAATGTTTCACCTGATATTTCATTTTTCCATCTTTAAAAAGCCTGAGCTTGTGCTGACGTCGCAAGTTGTCTCCATAAATGTGCCCCGCGTCGACCTGCGTGAATCACAGAACACAAAATAAAACAAAACAAAATTAAAATCCAAATGGAAGCAATTTTAACAAATGCCAGGCATTATCTGATTCACTTTATAAGTTACTAAACTTTCCAATGTGTTTGCTACTCCTGACAAGGCTCTCTAAAACGTATCTGATGCCAATGAAATTATATATTTTCTGTTTTTTCCTTCTCTACAAAGTTTTATTTTTATATTTTTTTGTTGGACTAACCCCATGCGATAAAGCCTTAGTGAAGCCCACACCCATGCTATTGTATGTCTTGAAGAACTGGTGGGTGAAGTGCTGAGCGAAGAAAGCAAACATAAGATTGGAGCCCTGAGGGTCGGGTCTGAATGTCCTTCTTTTCAGCAGCCTCTCAACCAACACCTCGGGGTCAGGGAGCCCATTTCTGCCTTGGCAAAATAAAAAAAAAAAATAAAAACACATTACTCACAGCCTAAACATGCATTTCCCCATAATGAATTATGTCACCAGTAGCAATTAAAAAAAAAGCCTCAGCTACATTCATTTTACAGTTTAAGGGGTACCAATAACTGATCCTTCTGTTATTAACAAGATAGTAATACTGTGGACTTTTCAGGGAAAGGAATTATTATCCTCTTAATAAATATGCTCAAATTAAAGCTTTTTCTTTTTACAGAATATCAGTCTGAGTTTATACTATATAGTAAAAGATGCATTATTTCTTGGCTTTTGCAAATCTTTACAAAAAACTGCAAGGGCAGAAAAGACATTATTATCATCCTTATATTAGTATCTTATTCAAGAAAACTAATATAGGTTCTGCAATACATATTATGATTCAATATACACTTTAACCCTTATAATATATAGTTTAGATATTAATAAAAAGATAATCTTAAATTTTTTTGTATTTGATTTTTATGTATTAAATCTGCTTTATTTGAGGTACATAAAAATATTTTATTTGACCTTATTTAATTTTACTTTAGTTGTTCTTTTAATAAAGTGCATTTAAATTAACACTGCATGCAAAATATAATTTTTCCGTAAAAAGATTTTACAAAGGGCATGCTTCGGCCCATGTACCGAGGCCTTAGTCCTCGAAGTGGGAGACCCAGGTCCGGGTCGCCCTTTTCTGCATGTCTCTCCCCCTTTCTCATACCCCCTTTCCTGTCAGCCTACTGTCGAAAAAAAAACAAACCACTAGTGCCGTAAATAAAAATAAAAAAATTTACAAAAACTTAATTAATTTTCAGTATAAGAGGCTAAGCATGAAATGGGATCAGTCGCATTGGAACAAATGTTGTGTGAGGTAATTTGTTGCCTATATTTTATTTTGAATTGAACAGTAACGTAAATATTGCTGTGATTATATTCTGTATATTGTTCAAGCTGTTTGTTTAAATTGCTAAAATTTGAATAAATATATTTTGGGGAAAAAAAACCTAAAGTAGACAAAAACTGTGATGGCTCACTATATGGTGATTCCACAACACTTTTTACAACAAATAATCAGCATTTGGGTAAATCATTGTGGGCAGAAGAGGAAATTACATTCCCAAACACATCAACAGATAAAGGAAAGTACAGGTATGAATACCAATAAGACTATTTTTGACAATCCTTATTGCCTACCTTTGACGCCCAGAGGCGTGGGGCAGTCCTCAGGAACAGGCGGCAGGATCCTGGTGTAGTAGCTGAGGTTGTAGTAGGACTCCCAGCTGAGGTAGCCATATTTTGAATTGAAAGTGGGAGGACTGGGAATCAAGTTGGACCTCACTATTTATAGAAGGAAAAGGGTTGGTTGAAAAAAAAAAAAATGACTGTGAAGGAATTTGTTTCAACTAGCTTCTGACCTGTTAGAACCAGACGCATGAGGGTGTCCCGTAAGAACGTGTTGTTGATAATGTCCCAGAGCCAGTGGAAGTGGGTGAGAATGTAGTGCACTACATCTGGACTAGGCTTGAGGAACTGACGCACCCGGGTCCATAATTCCGCTTTAATGGGGGGAGTTAGAAAGGGAGAAAAAGGAAGAAAAAACACTTTAGACTTGAATTCAGAACAATTGGGACTGAAGGGTGGAAATGTACTCCACATGGCCTAGTCATTATGACACAATCCACTGTGGTCTTTTACTAAACCTTAATGGCGGAGCCCACCCACATTTCTTTATTCACTGAGTTCAAGAACCGGTTAAACAATATGGCAGTTCATTGTCATTTCCGAACCACAAATCCTAAACCCTGCCTCAAAGAGCTTCAACTTACTTCCAACTCAGTAAAAATCCCAAACATAGTGTTTAAGTTCTTTAGATTTTGATCTAATTGGGGAAGGGCAATTAATTGCATTAGCATAATAATCGCAGTTTAAATAAATTCAATTTTCAAATTGTAGTGGCACGTTTTTTTTTTTTTCAGTTTTGGTCACATTACTTTTAACAAGTGTAAGACAGTAAATACATGTCTCCAGGTCTTTAGGTGGTGAGAATTACTTAAAGGGGGTTTGCTTCCTCTCAGAAGGAATAAGAGAGCTGCAGGCTGACCCATGCATGCAAGTACAGGTAAGCACTTTTCACCCAACAGTAACAGTAAAGTCCTGAACAATGGACAAAGCAAGCTTTAAGGGTCATGAGAAAACTGTAACCCTCGAATGAAATATATGCATGTTTGTGGTTAGTGGAAAGGAAGATCAAATTAAAACCAAAATAGTGGTTAAAAATAATTGCATTTCATATTTTTGGCAAAATTATTCAGCCCTAATTTAATTTCAGGAGAGTCTCTACTTTTGTGTAACTGTACCTGTGCTTAGTATACTGAACTCCATTGTTCCAGGGAAAACAATTCCAGAACAATACCTGAACCATGATTGAATGTGACAACTGGTACTTCAAAGTGCAAGCTAACTAGCTGATATGTAAGACGGAGCATGTTATGGTCTTTCCCGATACTCTAAGGAAGAGTTCTGAAGAGAAGCAGAATGCTTTTAATCTGACAAGCTAAACATCTTCCAAACCTTGTGGTAGATAACACTTATAAACCTAATGTCCTTTTTAAGGAGTGGAAATTCTGTTATGAAAAGAACATTTCTGATAACGCAGACATATGCCTTCTGCAGTGATGTGATCATCTATAAACCATAACTCTACGTCAGGAGCCTTGAAATTTAAGCTTCTCTAACATCACTTACTGAGAATAGTTATTTTCCTGCAGCTTTTTAAAAAATCTAATTAGTTAAAGATCAATTTTACTCAAGCATAAGTAGAAATATGCTTTAATAAATTTTCTTATTTTTAATCTAATATGTGTGGGGTACCTCAAGGCCCCATTCTGTTTTCTTTAGATATGCTTTCTTTGAAATTAACAAGAATAAAACGTAAATCGTTATATCTGAATGATCATATCTCCTAACCTGCAGCTGATTCATTTTGCACTTTTCCATTTACAAAACTCAGCTTCGATAGGCAGATCTGCTCAGAAGTAAAGAGCTTTTTGCTGCTAAGGACCACATTCCATCCATGTACTTTAGAAAAACAAATCCCTGCTTTGATTACATCTTGGCTGGATCCAAGCGCATCTCTATTTGTTGGTTTTGATAAATCATCTATATATCAGATGATACTTGTACAGATAGATCACACTTCTGCTGGCCTGTCTGCCCTCGCTTTCTGTTCATTTTTAGAATCCAAGTTAGGATTTGAATTTAAGGCTATGGGAAAATATTTTCATCTAACCTGTGTCACCATTATGCCCCAGTAAGAACTCTAGGGTCCAGAAGTCAACCACTGGTGCAGAGCATTTTTTTTTTTTTAAATACAAGTGTCAAAACAGAGGAACTACCTGCCTTCAACTATCACAGCTATAAACACTGATGATTTATGAGACTGTTGATCATTTCATGGCTAATTAAAAAACCCACCTCTATTTTCTTTATTTTAGTTTTAGTTAAAAATAACATCTTTCGCTTAACTTTATAGATGTGCATTTGTGTCATTTTTGTGTAAAAGAACTAAAGTATCACAGCTTTATTACAGGATCAGTAAAGGTGGTCCCTGACTAAACTCACAAACCCCTTCCTGTTATTGTCATACTATCTCCATGTTTTGCACGTCATCTTTTAAAAATCAAAGTTTAATATTGTGAGCACGACCTGAAAAAACGTTATTAGAGCGTGTCCACTGATTCCTTTTATTTCATAAGGGATCATTTCAGTCCTCTCAAGCTGTTCATCCTGTGCAGTCATGCTGTCTATTTCAAATGACCTGCTGTATTTTTCTGAGCAATGCATAAGTGTGTTGTTTTGGTGAGATACACAAACCATGGCCATAGTTATTGAAGTCTAAATAATCCATAAACTTGTTTGCAACTAATTTGAACAGCAATAAATAGTTTTATGAGTAAAATGATAAAAAAAAAATCCTAATTACTGCATTACATAGGTTTAACACTGCAATGCATGTGTCAAGGAAAGTACAAACAAATTATGATTTGGTGCAGTATTTTTGAGATATAATAGCAGCTTTCTTAGTCAAGTTCTCCACTACCAAATGAAAAAGGTAGTAAGGTGGGAAGGTGGTATAGCATCAGGACTAGCCATTGGTCAGCAGATTAGGAGCTTAAGATAGTTGAACCTCAATATTTACGTGCTGTTTAAAGAAATAACATAATTTTTTTTTAATTGTTAGCGTTTGCTCAAACTGTTTTTTTCCCTTACTTATATCAGTTATAATTGTGAGCTCTGCCATAATGACCATCATTAGATTTAAAGCTAAAGGGGGATCCCCAAAGTATGGGGTCTGGTGCACTTCAGAAAAGAAAAGCTGTCATGAAAAAACATGTGGAAATAATAATGAGAAATCTCAACACATCAGCCAGGATGGTAAAGCTTTGCCGAAAATTACTCTTCCAACAAGAGGGCAGCCAAAAGCAAACCTCCAAGTTAGTGGCAAAGTCAATGTAAGTAAATGACCCTCACTGCTCTAATCTCAACCTCACAGAATATTTGTGGGCACAGCTAGAAACCAGTGTTGGAGACCAAGGTCTCCTACAAACTTATTTCAATTTTAACTGTTTTTTCTTTTTTTTTTTTTTGAAGAAGAAGAAGAACTGAGCTGAAATTTTTGTCAAACTTGTCAAAAGATATCCATATCCACACATTTAGCACCACCCCTCTCATGTAGAACTTCTTTAATCTTTTATTCCTTATTGTCATGGTTTTGGTTCTGTTCAAATTTTATCTCAGAGTTTTCACTTGTCTTATTTCCATTCTTGTGTTGTGGTTATTTTTGATTGTATTTGAGTTCTTAGATATTTCTTGTTTGTGTCAGTCTCTTTCCCTAGCTCCCTTCTGGCCTCTATTCATACCTACTCCCAATCTACTAATTATCCTGGTCTTTGTTTCTCTCTCTCATATATTCACCTCCTGTTCAGTCACTCTTTGCTGGTTTGTCCTCATTTCTTTTTCCCATGCAAAGTTAAAGGTAATTTTTACACATGGTATATACATCAGGTCTGATTGGTGACCACAGCGGATGGGTGTTTTGCAGTAATGAGAAGCAGACCAGTTCAAAGCAGCTGAGTAGAAACCTCTGGAGAAGAAATCAACAGACAAACCTATGATCCAGCTGCTCTTCTGCTGGGTGTTCCAAAAGTTTTTCAAAATATTTGGTCTAGACAAGGAACCTTAACTCTGTAAGCCAAAAGCTTTGTCACAATATTACAAGAATCCATTGTTATTTTTTTAAGGGTCCTTTTGAGAAAGGAAGGCTTCAAATTCCTTAGAAGTGTAATAATACAAGAGGAAATGAGAGAGTTAGGATGTCTTTAAGGATGAGGGGACTCACGGATTGTGCAGTTTTGTCCGTAGTAGCCAGTGTGAGTGCAGTCACATTCGTACTTGTCCTGGCCGTGGCGCACACAAACACTCCAGTGTTGACAGGGCAGATAACAGCATGGGTTCACTGTGGAAACGGAAGGAAAACGTCTAAAAAAAACAACCTCTGGTCGAATAGTGAAAGTGGATCAAACCAAGATTATAAACAGATTTTCTACACACTCTCATCACATCACACCACCATCATGTGCTGTTAGAAATATTTAGCTTTAACAAAAAAATAAATCTGTTCAAGGAAAAGATGTATGAAAAATCAAGTGCAAACGGGTCGAATATGTGGTTGATACTTTACTGAACCACCCTTTGAATCCAATCCAACTTTTAGTCCTCTTGTTTACATGAATACCATCAACTTTAGAGAATCAAATTCTCAGGAAATAAGGTCCAGCTGTCCTTGTAGGATTTTTCCAGTAATTTTTTTTTTTGTTGCATTAGGTGAAGCCATAATTTTCATAATTGTGGTAACAGCTCTACTCCCTATTTTTCGTATATATATATATATATATATATATATATATATATATANAGGGGGGCGAAAACCAGACTGGAAAGGCTCGTAAAGACTGTTGAGGGCAAGAAAGGTGTGGAGTTGAGCAGACACAGTTTTTTCAAGTATTTTAGAGATAAAGGGAAGATTAGAAATGGGACGAAGATTATTAAAGTTAGCGGGATCAGAACCAGTTTTGAAAAGTGAAGGAACAATACCAGAAGAGAGTGAGGAATGAATAATGGAAGTAATGTAGGGGAGGAGGGAGGTAAGACAGGTTTTGACCAGAGCTGTGGGGAGGGGGTCAAGAGAACAAGTAGAGGACTTGGATTTTCGAATGAGGTCAGAAATTTCAGTAGTGGGCAGTAGGAAGGAGGAGAATGACTGGCTGTGGGGGAGGGGCGGAGAGGAAGTGGGAGGCAAGGCGGTCATATGTAAATGTGTAAATATTAATTAGAAATCTCAACACATTAGCCGGGAAGGTAAAGCTTAACTGAAAATTAATTATCCAACAAGAGCCAAAAGTGTACTTCCAAGTTAGTGTCAACGTCAAATGACCCTCACAGCTCTGATCTCAGCCTCACAGAATATTTGTGGACACAGCTGGAAACCAGTGTTGGAGACCAAGGTCTCCTACAAACTTATTTCAATTTTAACTGTTTTTTCTTTTTTTTTTAAGAAGAAGAAGAAGAAGAAATGAGCTGAAATTTTTGCAAACTTGTCAAAAGATATCCATAAAAGAAGAAGAAGAAGAAGAAATGAGCTGAAATTTTTGCAAACTTGTCAAAAGATATCCATAAAGTTGGCCATTAAAAGGCTGTGTTCACACATTTAGCACCACCCCTCTCATGCAGAACTTCTATAATCTTTTATTCCTTATTGTCATGGTTTTGGTTCTGATTAAATTTTATCTGAGAGTTTTCATTTGTCTTATTTCCATTCTTGTGTTGTGGTTATTTTTGATTGTATTTGAGTTCTTAGATATTTCTTGTTTGTCCTCTTGTGTCAGTCTCTTTCCCTAGCACCCTTCTGGCCTCTGTTCACACCTGCTCCCAATCTACTAATTATCCTGGTCTTTGTTTCTCTCTCTCATATATTCTCCTCCTGTTCAGTCACTCTTTGCTGGTTTGTCCTCATTTCTTTGCCCCCCCCCCCTTGTTGTAAGTATTCCTGGTTCTCTATTTTTGTGGATTCTGAGGATTTATATTTTTTGATTTTTGCTTCTTTTAACCTTTTGTTATTAAACCTTCAAGTAACCAACTCAAGCTTTTGTGTCTGCATCAGGGTCCTGTCAAACCTCCACCCCCACTGTGACACTCATCTTCCCTCCATTCTGTCCTCCATTTTTTCCCATGCAAAGTTAAAGGTAATTTTTACACATGGTATATACATCAGGTCTGATTGGAGACCACAGCGGATGGGTGTTTTGCAGTAATGAGAAGCAGACCAGTTCAAAGCAGCTGAGTAGAAACCTCTGGAGAAGAAATCAACAGACAAACCTATGATCCAGCTGCTCTTCTGCTGGGTGTTCCAAAAGTTTTTCAAAATATTTGGTCTAGACAAGGAACCTTAACTCTGTAAGCCAAAAGCTTTGTCATAATATTACAAGAATCCATTGTTATTTTTTAAGGGTCCTTTTGAGAAAGGAAGGCTTCAAATTCCTGAGAAGTGTAATAATACAAGAGGAAATGAGAGAGTTAGGATGTCTTTAAGGATGAGGGGACTCACGGATTGTGCAGTTTTGTCCGTAGTAGCCAGTGTGAGTGCAGTCACATTCGTACTTGTCCTGGCCGTGGCGCACACAAACACTCCAGTGTTGACAGGGCAGATAACAGCATGGGTTCACTGTGGAAACGGAAGGAAAACGTCTAAAAAAAACAACCTCTGGTCGAATAGTGAAAGTGGATCAAACCAAGATTATAAACAGATTTTCTACACACTCTCATCACATCACACCACCATCATGTGCTGTTAGAAATATTTAGCTTTAACAAAAAAATAAATCTGTTCAAGGAAAAGATGTATGAAAAATCAAGTGCAAACGGGTCGAATATGTGGTTGATACTTTACTGAACCACCCTTTGAATCCAATCCAACTTTTAGTCCTCTTGTTTACATGAATACCATCAACTTTAGAGAATCAAATTCTCAGGAAATAAGGTCCAGCTGTCCTTGTAGGATTTTTCCAGTAATTTTTTTTTTTGTTGCATTAGGTGAAGCCATAATTTTCATAATTGTGGTAACAGCTCTACTCCCTATTTTTCGTATATATATATATATATATATATATATATATATATATA